GAGAGAGAGAGAGAGAGAGAGAGAGAGAGAGAGAGAGAGAGAGCTAGGTTCTCATGCAAACCTGTTTCCCCAGCAAGCTCTGAGAACTTGCTGTCATCAAATCCAGCCCGACTCACAGAGACCTCGTAGGACAGCATGGAATGAGCCCTGCAGCTCTCAGGAGCACTGAAGAGACTGCAGGCATGCCCAGGGACAAGACCTAGCTTGTGCCCACACACAGCCCAGACCTTCAGGAGGTCACTGCGCCAGCACAGCGGCCAAGTCCCCCAGCACTTGTTCCGCCACGTGTTTCTGCGTCCAGGAATTCATCATAGCGGTATCATCTCGTGGAGGGGAGAGGGAGGATCTGGCAGGGGAGGGGGAGGGAGAGTGAGGAAGTGATGGATGGAGGTGTCAGGGTGCCAAATAAGCGAGTGAGGCGGCAGAGTGTCGGGGTGCATATAAATGAACTGCGAGAGAGCCTGGCCAGGGGAGGAGGAGACCACAGGGCACCAAACAGGACAGAAGCTAAGATTCAAACAAGGACGGGCTTTTCCACTGCCAAGAGCATCAACGGGTTCCCTCCAGCTTTTCTGCTCTTCCCTGCCTCCCCACCCCCACCCGCCAGTAGGGAACCAAGAGAGTTATGAATGCTCATTGTCCCCACACAGAGCGAGCCTGTAGGATAGAGCAGATCTGCCCTGTAGGGCTTACAGTCTTTGCAAGGGTAGAAAGGCCATATCTCTCTATCAGGGAGTGCTGGGGAGTTCGAACTACGGACCTTTCCATTAGCAGGCAAGCTGTAGTCACAAAAAGTCCTTGGCTGAAAAGAAAACCTTCCTCTGGGTGGATTTGTCCAAACAAACAAACTCACTGCCATTGAGTTGTGAATCAGTGTATCTCCCTTCCCATGTATGCCAGTTTAAACAGTACACCCTCACGGAGCCCTGGTGGGGTAGTGCTTATGCACCGGGCTGCAAGCTGCATGGTCAGGGAGCTTGCGGAGGGAAAAGACAAGGCTCTCTACTCTCACAAACAGTTACAGTCTCGGAGCCTGATGGGTGTGCGTAGGGGGGCTGTGATGAGTCAGCATTGACTCAATGGCCCTGAGTTTGGTTTTGGTTTTATATACTCCTTAACCTGGAGGGAATGCCCCTTATTTTGCTCCTTTGCCAGGGAGCCCTAGCTCAGTGGGTGATGCACGCTGCCAGGCTGAAAGTGTGAGCCCACCAGCGGCCCCTGAGAAGAGAGAGGAGGTTTTCTGCCCCTGCAAAGATGTGCAGTCGCAGCAATCCCCAGGGCACGGTAGTCCTCTGCCTTGTCGGGTCCCTGTGAGTCGGCGTCGACTCGGTGGCGGGGAGTTTGGGTTCAGACTCAGTGGTCATTTCGGAGCTCTGGTCGTCTTCTAGAGCACCCGGGCTGGTCAAGCCGGCCTCGCCGCCATTTAGGACGAGAGGGAAGATGGCAAAGAGAACAGAATAGGAGGGAAGGGAGAGAAATGGAAGATACCCACTGGCACTTTGCCTTCTCAAGAAGAGAAGGACACGAATCTACTTGGAGAAGGAGGGCAGGCACTTAAGACTTTCACGACCATCTTTCTCCCACAGGTTGGCTGCTGGGTTTGGACCACTCACCTTGCCGTTAGCAGCCCAACCAAGGTCTTACCCACCACGCCACTGGGGCTCCTACTGGAGACGCAGGTAGTCATGAAAACCATTCAAGATGCTCTTAAGCACGCAGCACACCCACAAAACCCATCTGTGTGGGGAAGTGGGGAGAAAAGGACCCGGGCCTTGGGTTTTCTTCCGGTCCAGGTGGGGCTGGTTTCCAGCCTCGCTCACCTCGTTACGGGAGAATCAAAAGCTCCCTTTGAAAGATAAGGCCTCGCCGTTCGGGTCACGTGGACCGTCCATGGGGAGCCCTGGTGGAATCTGGTTTCAATAAGACGTCTCCTCAGAAAGCAGGCAAGCCGATGGAGTACCGAAGGGCTTTTACTTTCCATGACAAAATAAAAAGGTGCAAGACCTGAAGGCTGGGGAAGATGAAAGGAAATCAAAGGGCTGCCGAGGAGGCAACTCCTGGGTATTTGGGGGAGAGAGTTGGACAATTAGATTTCCTTGTTGCAAAAAAGGAATTTTTCCTTGTGTGGGGGTAAAATTTTTTTTTAGAAAGAAAATCATTTTATTTAGATCGGTCATCAAGAATGTACTTTCAGTGGGCACTTACTGTCATTGATAAGAACTCCGATTTAAGGTCAGAAGACGCTGACTGAATCTAGTCTCATTTGTTAAATCTGTGCCTTGGGGAAGACAGGTCATCCAGTGACACTTCCGTGTTCTCATAAAATGGGTGCAAACATAACAGCATTTTCCTCAGAGGATGGAGCTGACCGATTTCCAGTGAGGGATATTTGCAGGCTGGTATGTATGGGTGCTTAGTGAAGACGCATTACTTTTCTTACATTTATATGTTGTTGCAATTACTGTTTTACAGTCCTAAATATACAAGCCACAAGGAAAGAAATTATTCCGATGGTTTGACCTACAAACTTGAGTGTTGTGGAAAGATTTTTTTTTTTAATGTGACAATATAGATCAACTTAAATGCTGGAAATCCAAGAATTGGGGCCAGAGATATTCTGGGAATGTTTATAATATTCCAAGCATAAAAATTAAACAAAAATTAAAACAAGTGGTTTTATAAGAATTCTAATGACATAAAATTTTTTGGAAGTTTGTATTAGCCTATCCAGAGCTCCTGAGAGTTATTTTCCGTTTTATTGTGATCAAATGCCCAAGCTACACATCGTCACATAAAACTGCAGAAACAATGGCTATTCATTGAACACTTCCTCATGATAAATGCAGGAGCAGGAGACTTTATTTCAGGGTCACAGCATTCATGGTGTTGTTAGGTGTCATCGGTCAGTTCTGACCCATAGTGACCCTGTGCACAACAGAACAGAACACTGCCCGGACCTGCGCCCTCTGCACAATTGTTTGAATGCTTGCGTCCACTGTTGCAGCCACTGTGTCAAAAGCGTGCATACAGGCAATGTATAAGAAGCATTCCCACTTTGCAGATTGGTAAGTGGAGGCACCGAGATGTAAAGCCACCTTTCTAATGTATGTCAGTGTGGTAGTTATATAATTGTCAATTCAAGGATTAAGTGTGTAAGGGTGGAGTCTAGCCTGTCAATCAGGTTAGAGCCAATGAGGCTTCTGTGTGGGCATAGCCTTCCTCTAAGGATTCTGGGAATTCCGGTATTTTCTCCTTGGAGGTGGGAGACTCTGCTCACACCCTGGGAGACACAGCAGCTGACAAGACTCATGGACCCACCCTGATGCAGAGACCCCGCCAGCGCTGAGATGTTTCCAATGACACTGGATCCAAGGACTTTCTACCCACTAGTCTGTGATCTCCTACATTCGGCATCATTGCATGTGTTTGGTGAGTCTGAAGAAGACTTTATAGATTGGTATCGGACATATGGGCTAATACCAGACTTATGGACTTGATCTGGACTGGGCTGAGATGTTTTCTCCATGTTAAATTGCTCTTGTATATAAATCTCTTTCTTATACACATATGGGTGTCCATGGATTTGTTTCTCTAGTCTACCCAGACTAACGCAATCAGCTCCTAAGTTGTGCAGCCCAGACTCGATCCCACATTGGCCTGATTCCAAAGCTCAAGGTCTAAACAACCACCCTGGGACAGGCGGGCAAAACAGACCTGGGGGAGGAAGAAAAGAGAGGCGAGAACCAAACTGCCAATCACAGAATCTGTGGATTTCCAGGAAAAACCATGCACAAGAAAAACAAAACAGAACTGGGAGCTCGAACATCTGGGAGCCTTTGGCAGCTCTTCCTTTGCGTGGTTTTCAACGGCAATTAGATGATGCCTCTCATCTGCATCAAATTACCTGCCATCATCCTGAACATCCCGCCGAAGCACCTGACCCAGGATCACACCCACGGCAGCTCCAGCTCATACTGAGTTCTTCCTCGCACCCCTCGGCACACATGGTTCTGGTGCTTGGCCTTTCCGCCTGGGAATGCTTCTCCTCCAGATCTTCCCAGGACTCCCTCACAGGCCTCAAGCCAGGTCTTGCCGACATCCCTATTGGAGTGGCCCCTCCCCTCCAATCCTTGGAGCCTTCTTGGCTCTGGGGAATGGCCTCAGGGCCTCACTGCTCACTTGTTCTTGGTTTGCTTTCCCCTCCGGTGGAAGCCCCAAGTGGACAAGGGCGCAGGCTGTTTGGAGCACATGTTGGTGTTCACAGCAGTGCTTGGCTGGCCCACGACAAAGCCAGGGCCCATGGGTGAGGCAGGGAATATGAGCCAGCCCAGCCCAGCACTCAGCAAGCAGCCACACTGTCACCGTGGGGTGAAGCAGTGGCAGGCTACAACCCTGGCAGTCCAGACCAGGATAGCAGTACCAGCCGTTCAGCTCTTCTTTCCCTCTGACAAGCTGTTAGTCTTGGAGACCCACAGGGGCCATTCTGCCCTGTCCTCTCAGGTCGCCAGGAGTCAGCATCAACTCCACGGCAGTACGTTGGGTCTGTTTTTGGATGGGTGAAACCAATGAATAAGCACTCAAGAAGAAAGGTCTGGTGGTGATCTGTTTCCAAAAGTCCCCAGCCTGGCAAACTGTAGAGCCCCATTCTACTCTCACTCACCAGGTGGCCAGGAGTCAGTAGTAATTCAATGGTGAGCAACAAGCACTTAGTTAAGAGGATAAGGAGCAAAGGAAAGAGAAAAGCTGTTGTTAGTGCATTGACGTGGTTCTGACTCACAACAGCCTTGCGCACAAGGGAACAAAATGATACCCATCCAACAGCCTTGCGTACAAGGGAACAAAATGATACCCATCCTGCGCTGTCCTGTCCTCTCCATAGTCCTTATGTTGAGCCCATTGTTGCAACCTGTTGGGAACCAGGAGATCAAATGATCCATCACACTGGGCAAATCTGCACAAGACCTCTTGAAAGTGTTGAAAAGCATGGATGTTACTTGAGGACTGAGTACACCTGACCCAAGTCATAGTATACTCCATCTCCTCATATGCATGTGAGAGTTGGATGTTGAATAAGGAAGGCTGAAGAATTGATACCTTTGAATGATGGTGCTGGAGAACAATATTGAAGTACCGTAGACTGCCCAAAGAACAAA